AGGAGATGGAAAACTTTTCCCCTCTTAAAGAGTTTTTAGTCTTCAATATATTTTTTTTTGGTAAACTAGGCCTGTGTCCTAAGGAGTCAGAATGGTCTGCCTCCCATCTTGCCTCCTTTTATTTAATCTTACAACCGCACAGTTGGAAGGGACCCTCGTTTGTGGAGTCCAGTCTCTCTCAAGGAGGCACAAAGTGGGAATTGAACTCCCAACCTCTCGCTCTGCGAGTGGGAATTGAACCCCCAGCCTCTCGCCAGAGACCTAAACGACTGAGCTATTTGCCCTCCTGCTGTCAAGCAACAGAGATGTGTGTTCAACATTGGATCGGAGCTTGTGAACAAGAAAAATCCAGAGCTCCAGATCTAAACTGCCAAGGATGGGTGAACCTGCATAACAAGAGGAGCATAACAAGGGTGACTGGGGTTTGATCTAGTCTGATTAAATTTAGAGAGGGACAAAGACCGCTGATAGAAAGGAACAAATCTACTTGCCATGAGCCCCTGCGTTGTCCTTAGTTGTTATTCCCTGGGCAGAAGGAAACACAAAACAGGAGGTCTCCATGTGGAATCGGCACAGCTGTTGTACGTTCATATTTGGGCCGTCGTCCTCATTCATCTGTCCTCTCTATGCATTCGCCCATCTCCTATCAATCAAGAAGACAACAAAGCCACAGGGACCGGAATTGCTAATTACACCTCCGATAACAAGCTGGCCATGGCAATCAGCTAACATTTCTGTCCTGCAGTTGAGGAACGCTAAGGCTTGAAAGGGTGGACAAGCAATTTCACAGAGTGCCAACTGAGTTGGATTTTGTTTTACATCCACTTTTGCTGGCTGGATAGCTCAGTGGTTTAGAAGGTTGATTACCGAGCCCCGAGGTTGGGGGTTCGATTCCCCACTTGTGCCTCCTGGGAGAACCAGCCTGGGTGACTTTGGGCCAGCTGCACAGTCCTATGATGTCCCCCCAGAAGAAGGGAATGGGAAGCCATTTCTGAGTATTCTCAACCCAGAAAACCCTGAGAAAGCATTTCTTTTTTTTTTCACTTGACTTGACAACATGCCGTTATTATTACTATTTGATATTGCGAAACTAACCAGTGTAAAACTCTTGCTGAAATCGTACAGAGCGGTTCCTTCTTTTCCATCCTTGGAATAGATAAGGTACCAAATGATATCTCTCGGTGATCCAAGTCAATATAAAGGAGATCAGAGACTGGCATTACCAGCATTGCAAAAGCTGGCTGGATAACTCAGTGGTTTAGAAGGCTGAGGGTTTGATTCCCCACTTGTGCCTCCTGGAAGAACCAGCCTGGGTGGCTTTGGGTCAGCTGCACAGTCCTACGATGTCCCCCCAGAAGAAGGGAATGGGAAGCCATTTCTGAGTATTCTCAACCCAGAAAACCCTGAGAAAGCATTTCTTTTTTTTTTCACTTGACTTGACAACGTGCCGTTATTATTACTATTTGATATTGTGAAACTAACCAGTGTCAAACTCTTGCTGAAATCGTACAGAGCGGTTCCTTCCTTTCCATCCTTGGAATAGATAAGGTACCAAATGATATCTCTCGGTGATCCAAGTCAATATAAAGGAGATCAGAGACTGGCATTACCGGCCACTTGTCATGACCCCGTCTCTCTACAAGAGCGGGGCACAGAGGAGACCATTCCGTGCGGACGAACCAGAAAAAATTGCTAGGCTCATCCTGCAGACTCTTAAACCTTGGAGGTCTTGAGCTTGTAGCTCACAGTGGCCCGATGGCCAAACCAAAGGATGAAGCCAGGCCCTGCTCAGCCCACAGGAATGGGGCAAGCTGAAGGCAAAAGCTCGCCTTGAGGCTTCCCCATAAAACGTCGGAGAAGGCAGGCAGCCTCCTTGGGAAAAGGTCCTCCTCCGTGGGGGTCCAGCCCTACAGCTCAGGACCTTTCCCAGCCAGTGAATCATCCCACGTCGAGGAATGGAGAGCTTCCCAGCAGCCGAGCCGTGAAACCCTTAATTAGCAACGGCTACTCCCCAGAGGTAAGGGACATGGTGGCACTGCGGGCTAAACCGCAGAAGCCTGTGCTGCAGGGTCAGAAGACCAAGCTGTTGTAAGATCGAATCTACGCAACGGAGGGAGCTCCCGTCGCTTGTCCCAGCTCCCGCCAACCTAGTGGTTTGAAAGCATGCAAATGCAAGTAGATAAATAGGGACCACCTCGGTGGGAAGGAAACAGCGTTCCGTGTCTAAGTCGCACTGGCCATGTGACCACGGAAGATTGTCTTCGGACAAAACGCTGGCTCTATGGCTTGGAAACGGGGATGAGCACCACCCCCTAGAGTCGAACACGACTGGACCAGAGCTTCCCAGCAGCCGAGCCATGAAACCCTACGGCTACTCCCCAGAGGTGCTCTCTCTCTCGTTTGTGACTTCTGCGGATCCTGAACTTTTTTGCAAACTCCCTGGTTGACCTTGACTCCCCAGAGGTGCCCTCTCTCTCGTTTGTTCTTGTGACTTCCGTGGATCCTGAACTTTTTTGCAAACTCCCTGGCTAGGAAAGATTTTTTTTTGACCATCCGGAATATGCTTTTGGACTTCCCCTGTTTCGGGAAGGTAACTCTGGCTCGCCTTGGGCTGTTTTGATGAATATGGCTTCTTGCACTTGGTTTAATAGGCTACCCCGTAGGACTTGGTGTATTGCCCCAAGCAGCAGAAGCCTTTGAGATTTTTCAGCAAAGACATCTAAAAATCACATTTTGAAGTCCGCTATACAAAGATAGATATAGACATGCAAACAGTACTGTTTTGGGGGGGCTCAGAAACCCTTACTGCTCCCCTCTTGCTGCTCTTCCTCCATCCCTGTCCTCTCGTTCTCCCCCAACATCCTTCTGCTATTTTTATTTATTACTGTCTTCCACACTTTCCCATCTGGTATTCATTCAAGCATTCGTTGACTTGCCTAGTTAATTCTCTCCCCCCCCACTTTCTTTTCCCTTTAGGGACCCTTCTAATTAAAGCAGAACATAGAATTGGAACGTAGAATTGTCTAGAGGCCTTGTGAAGAAATGAATGTCCAAGGTCTACTTCCAACTGTATTTTGGGAGAGATTACCAGTACTTAATGGTCTCAAGATGGGACTAGACCGACAGCTTTTAATTAACTAAAAGCCATTAATCCTTCTGAAGAACGTCCCTAAGAAGCACACCTGCAGGGTCTCTTTAGTACCCATGCCAAATTTCAGCTGGCTGGGTCTCCTGGCATTGGAGGCAGACAGATAGAAATCCACATACACACATTCTCTTTTGTTAGCATAGAAGACAGAATAACATGAACTCAATGTAAGTGTGACTAATAAATTTAGGAATACTGCCCTAGGGCTGTTGGATGGACAAGTCAAATCTACGCCACTACTCTGCTTTCTCAGGATCTGGTCAAGTCAACCAGCTACAAGCGAAGCCTGCTTAGAAACAGCATGGCAAAGATGGAAGTAGAAACAGTGGACTTGGTTAAAATGGGGGAAGCCTATATCAGACCCGAGCCCGGTTTATGACAGAATGCCATAGAGTGAATGCTCAAAGACAGGGTTGATGAAATTCACGAGAGCCGAGACAGAAAGTCTGTACTGTACAGTGGGTTGGTAATCAGATAGATGATCAAGGAAAAAGGAGTGGAAGATGAAGGGGGAAAGAACTGAAGATGAGAGGTAGAAATTGAGTTGGACAGTTGAGGCAGAAGAGAGCCGGTGAGCTAAGAAGCACTTTGCAAGCTTCCCTTGATGAAAAAGAGTAAGAGGAAAATACTGCCTGTTCTCATGAGAACGTGCCTTGTTCCATGTTTAGCAAATATAGCTTATATTGGTTTTGTGACTGATCAACAGGGAAATAGCACAGCTATGGCTGCAAGTCTGATGGAGCATGCAGCACTGCGAGGTTTTCTTGCTTGGAGGGATAAGGTTAAGAGAAAAGGAAATACGTATGATGTTGTTAGGTCCTGTTAAGTTGCTGCTGACTTATGTTGAGCTTCTGAACGAATGGCCTTCAGAAGATCCAATCAGGAACAACAGCCCTAAGCAAAGTTGCAGTTGCTTTAATCTCAGTCCACTGGACATTATTCAAGCCAGGATGACAGCTGAAATGCACCCTTACCTTAGTAAAACCTAGACTAGCTGGTAGCTGGAGGCTGGGAACACTGTAAATAGAATAAATTTGCTGCTAAAGACAGGTGCTGAAACCCCCTTGCTGCCTTACAGATCACGAGGTCTTGCAGCTAGTTTTTTTTTAAATTTTAACTGCATACTAGAGGTGCATAGAAGCATATAGCAATAAGACAAAATTAGTGTAGTTCTCATATCAATGTGCACTAACTGAATGTGCAACTTTTGAACTAATGTGTGAAGAAGACAATTATCCTTCAGTTTCCGAAATATTCTGGTTTTTAGGATGCAACTCTAATACAAAACACTGCATACAATATATGTGTATATACTGTATAATCCACAATATATATATATTTGTGGGAGAAAAATGTGTAAAATAATTCACACAATGAAGAAAATGCTTATTGAAACATGAAACATAATTATAAACACACATATGTATGTCTGTACATGTGCTTGCGTGTGCGTGCACACACACCCACAATTTAAATATATATATTTAAATGGTTTTAAAACATTGAATTGTTTGATAGTTTTTTTATTGCTATACTACACCCAGAGATCATAAGCCAAATATAAATGTTCAAGACAGAATATAAATGTTCCAAGTAAATAAATGTTGGTGTCCATGCTTGCCAAAACATGTATGAATTTTCATGCATACTTAATTGTGTATATTTATATCCTATTTCTGCTGTCGGTTTTTTAAATTCTTTGTGTGTAATTTTACATAATTATATATATATAGGTAATATATCAGTTTGATATACTATATACTGTATATACCCCATACCTCCTGCTTTAGGAACTTCTCAGTGGATTATAATTCTCTTCCCCCAACCCCTTCTCCCTTTTTCTTCCTTTCAGAAACTGTTAGCTACCAGGACGCTCTGGACACAACACACGGGGGTTCCTCCCTGCGCAGACCCTCTCCCCGACCTGCAACTTATTCCGGTGAGGCCTTCTAAATAATGCAGCCCATGGTGACATGTGTGGATTGGGCCCCTCCGGGAGCAAATGACCAAAGGGCGGGGTCAGATCCTTCCACGAGCAAATGTTTGTTCTGTGCTGTGCTGTCAACTCAAAAAACGACTTAACAGCAACCCTAACGGGGGGCTTTAAGTGAGAGATTTAAGCAGTGGTTTTACCAGTTCCACACATACACTATGAGTTTCCATGACTGAGCGGAGATTCGGGATTCGAACCCTTGTTCTGCAGAGTCCTAGTCTGTCATTGCATCCACTCGTACACCACGCTAAGCAAATATTTGCACCTTCTAAATTTCAGCACCCTGGCACCCTGCTCTGTTTCCAATGGTACAACCATCTCAAAGAATCAAAGCTTAGTGGACTTGCCCTGTTTCCAATGGTACAACCATCTCAAAGAAGCTTATAGGCTTTGTTCTCTCTCTCTCTCTGTGTGTGTGTGTGTTGGTTTGAGATTTGGGAGATCCAGGTTCACATGCTAAGGGGCAAAGGACCCCAATTCGAGGGTGTGCCAGCTGTAGAGTAGTGGGTTTGCAATGGTCATGAGCCTTTTGTGTTGGCCGAACTGAGACGGTCTGGTATAAATAGATCAGGCAGCAAAATTCTTGTGCCACCTCTGATGAGCCCACAAAGGGCCAGGGCAGAGAAGGAACGACGCGATGCCAGATCCAGTCCTCTTTGAACCCTCCTCTCCGCCACCCACGATACTGGCACAAAACTGAGCCAGGATCAAAGTAGTCCTAAAGTAATTTCCAACACCCTGGGAGCTGGGAGGCATGATTCAGGACGGCCTCGCCTGTTTCAGGGTTGGCTCAATCATCTTCTCTTGGTAGATGTCTGCCTTTACAAAGGACAGGAACCTTGACACGGTTAAGTAACTTTTATTACTCTGTCTCAACATGTTTTTTTCGGGAGGTGGGGAACAATAGAAAATATTGTGGCACTTTAAGGACTAACCATTTGTCTGCAGCAGAAATCCAGTATTAAGTTGCAACCCAAGTTAGGCTCATGGAATCAGAGGGAATTTGGTGAGTTAATATCTAGGTACATTCCATAGATTCGATGGGCCTTCTCTAGTTGCTACTTGCTACTGGATTTCAGCCAGTGTGAGGATTTATGGATCAATTGACATCATTCGTTAATTGCTAATTGAATTAATCAACAGCTTGATGCTGTGCTAAAGATTGTTACTTTGTCTGTTGCTTGTGTCTGAGGAAATGGGTTGAGAACCATGAAATAAAACTGTTAAAAGTGGTACTGTATTATGTTGCAGTTTTAAATTTCTGGCAGAATTCCTTGTGCTGCAGCCCAAGTGCAGAGATGCACAGAAGAGAATAGCTTCAAGTTCTCCAGATAGTCCACCCCTTTTTTCATTAACAGGCACTTAAGGTCTCAATAACTCACT